GATATTTGAAACGCCTGAACTTTAAATGCAAAAGTTAGGCCAATACCAGTTTTGTCTGAATTGCCTTTATAACTGTTTTTGCAAATGAACTCCTCATTTCCAGAGAAAATTAGAGAAAAGCTGTGGGGAAAAATGAAAATTTATAGCACCTGAAATGTACGTATTTCCATACTATATCAAAGGTGACTCTGAATCTCTGAATTCCCTAAAATGTACGTTTTGTGATACAAAGAGGTGACTCGTGACTCGGACTTGGACTCAACCTTTGTGACTCTCTGACTCGGACTTGACCAGGAGGACTCGGGACTCGGACTTAGACTCGAGAAATGTGACTCGGACTCGGATTGGATGTTTCGTGACTCGAATACAAGTCTGCATCTTATTGACTATTAACCCTTACCCTACTAGACCCTCCAACGCATGCCAATATGTGCCTCAAGAAAATCTCCTATGTTTTTTGCATGGCCCTCCAATATCTGCCATGTCATTTCAAGGGTAACTGGACAGGCACTCCAATACATGCCACAGAGAACAATGAGAGTCCTCTGATAACAAAGTGAGTGCCCCCAGCTGGTCAGTATCAGGCACCCTCCAGGGCCTCCAACTCCTGCCAATTGGAGCCTTCACAGTCAAGATAGTTTATCCTCCAATTAACTGCAGCTGGAGGGCATTGGCATAACCAACTGACATGCAGTAAACTACCCTCAGAGAGTAAGGGTTAACAGTGAAAATTTCACTTAAATTGCAAACTCTATTCCCAATTCATGTCTATTTCAATAAAACGATCACAAAACTTGGCTGTCCACCACTTATCAATTACCGTGCTGCGAACTGATAATACATCTCCCAATGAGGATAATGAAACATCAATTGTTTTCCCACCTCCATGAAGGAACAAAAACATACAAAAATCACCATCGATATTTCGAAGAAAAAAGAGAGTTAACTTGCTTCTCATATTCAAAACACACAACCTGATAGTAAAAATTCTCTTGATTTCAATTATTAAAATCTCATTTGTATTTGAATACTTGTGTGTAATCTGTAATTCTCACTTAGCTCATTTAGCTTTCAATATTATCGCATTCCTTGGACAGCTACACAAACAGGTTCTTTTTAGTAAAACATGCATAACTTTGGATGGCATGATCAAATTTAGTGATTGGGTTTTTTTCAGATGAGTGGAAGAACATGCTCTTTTAAGACATACTTCTTCAGTGTATCTAATTTGATTGCTTTTTAAGAAAAAAAAAAATCTTGAGTGCTGGTCACTTTCTTAACTCACCCTGTATAAACACAATGTGAACATGCATCTCTCACACACTAAACATAATTGTCTTCATTTTCTAATATCCTCTTTTTTTCTGTCTTTTCTTCTTGTGCGGTAGCCCTCACATTGAGTGGCATTTATGCCTTGTGAAGGAACGACTTGCATAAAAAAAAAACAATTACATGTACACAATACATATGTTTAATCTGGAGCAAATTATTAAAACTGAAACAAATTTAATTCTCAGATTTCATATCAGTGCAAGTAGTGAAACTGACTTACATGCATCTGCTTTGGTTACAGGAACCGATACCACAAGATAGTCACATGCATTAAAATAGGACAGAAATGTTGGGGGGGGGAAGGAAAAGAACAAGAAACTTTCTGTTTCAATTACACTTTGCTCAAGGTCTTACAATCCCTGTAAGTATAAATCTGGAGTGATCTTGAAATAGAGAAGAACATTTTTTGCTGCATCTTAATAAAATGTAGCTCATGGAGCTCAATGCTACATTGTGCATGAACTATGGGTGATGGCTACCAAAACAGCTCCACTCCATCAACTGGGTGGAAAACTGAAGTTGAAAAGCATCGTGAGAACTTTTACATGAGTGGAGAAAGAATTTCTCAAATAACAGGGTTAAGTGCTGAAATCATTGCACCAATTGGCCTCTGCTTAAACTTCGTCTTTCTCTTCACAGTCATTCGAGTGAAGTCCATGCGTACAATCATCAACATCTACTTATCCAATCTGGCTGTGGCTGACTCCCTCTACCTTATAACTTACTTCATAATAGTACTGTTTCCACCTATAGAGTCCAACTCATTGGTCAGCAAGGCAATATCAAGTGTCCTATACACGTTCCTTGCTACCTCTAATTTCTTTGTGGTTACCATAGCGGCTGAGAGATTCTCTGCAGTACGCAATCCTTTGACATTCAAGGAAAAAGCCTCTAAATCTCGAGCAGCAAAGATATCAGCAGGACTCTGGGTGCCAACAATTATTGTGTGTGTGATTCTGATTTTCTTACCATTAACAGATGCTGTCTTCACTAAAGTCTACTTTGGGATTCTTTCCATTATCAACATTGCCTCTTTGATAGCAACTCTTGCTTTGTACATCTATGTAGTATGGAAAGTACGCAAGCAATCAGCCCTGTTGCCCAACCGTCCCAAGCGAGCAGGCAAGGTCCTCTGCATGGTTATCATCAACACTGCTGTTTTCTTCATTCTGAACTCACTACACACTGCAGCTGCAATTATGACAATTCATGTACTTGTAGTGACATCAAAGTTAACTTCAACTGCTCAGATTGTTGCCAATCTGCAACTTGGAGCGACAATAAATACTCTGACTTTATGCATTGAAATTTTGCGACTGATCAATAGCTCAATCAATTCCCTGGTCTACAGTGCCACAAACACTGACTTTCGTGAAGCTGTAGTCAAGGCTTTCTCATTCCTCAAACTGTGCTGTCGTTGCTGCCCAAGACGGAATCCCAGCCGACCATCGCAGCCAGGGAAGCAGATCGAGCTTCATGTGATTCCACAGGCAGAAAATGACCAAGAGCACTGTGCTGCCAGGCCAAGCAGCAGCAAGCCACCAAGCCAAGGGCATGCACAACACACAGCGAGTCAGCAGTCACTGGACAGCTGTCAAGAACAATGTTGCAGGCAAAGCAGCAGCAAGGCATCCATGCACAGTCAGCAGCATGTTCAAGTGCATGTTGAGGTACATGCAGAACCAGCAGGGACCCCATCGCTTGCAAGTTCTCATTAGGAACAATGCTCTAGTCTGACTGACTGCAAGCCATCCATGCAAGGGGAACAGTGTGTACATCCAGAACCAGCAGAGAGCCAGCAGTCACTTGCAAGTACTCAGGAACAATGTCCTGGGCTGACTGGCACCGAGCCATCAGCACAAGGGCAGCAGTATGCACATCCAGAACCAGCAGGGATTTAATCTTTGGAAAGTTGTCAAGAACAATGTTCACTGGTACCTGATAAGTGCAAGCTGTCTTTAAGGGCAGCAGTGTGTAGAGTGAGTGCTGCTTTTGAACTTGCTGTGTTCAAAGTGTAGAGCAGATTTAAGGCCGTTTCATACATCTTCTTCATTGGAATGCCAATGAAGTAGATTTGACATCGAGAAACATTAACAGCACATTGTGCTGGAGTTGAAATGTGTTTTACTTCAGCCAATTGCCAATACATGTACGCACCATGACATCAGTAATGTGCAGGCCCGCCCAGAGCAGATTGCAACCAACTATCAGTAAAGGGAACAGCTGGTATTCATGCAATGTATGTATGTAAAATGTTCAGAAATTAACAAATCCTAAATAGTTTAATTATTTGAATCAAACTTTTGTTCGTGTTTAAAGGTAGAGTAGATCATTTGCAGCTATCCAAAAAGTAACTGACAAAATTATTGTTAAAAGGCTTTTGGTTTTAATGGCACTAAACTCCCTGTGAAATCATTCTTTCTGGCATGCTGTCATTTTGAAGGAAACAATGAAAGAAAGCTATTTCCAACGATGCATCAAGTTAGTTCATGTAGTTGGTTTGTAAATTTGGTGAATCCATGAATATGTGCGCGCAAGCGTTGACACGACGCACACGCACATTAGGTTGCTATTATTCGTCAGTTCAGTGCATGACATCGCGTAGCTGCAATTGACTGAATGAGAATGTGTCCCTGGGGCTGAATTCAGACACAATATAAAACATGACTCAGCAACTTTTGAATTGAACCTGAGATCCTAGAATATATGTTTGGAATATACTGCATTCACAGAGCTAAAACTTCATCGTGTTAGTTGTTAAGCACCCGTTTTTAGATTGTGAGCACTTTTGTAGCTTCAAATGAAAAAAAAATGCACAAATGACAAATGATCTACCCTTCCGTTTAATGAGCTTGTTTGTTACTTTTTCAGTGTGACAATGTACATGTATTGGTACTAACATATATAATCCTGAAATTGTTCACTGTAAATAAAGTTTTTTTTTAAAGTGCCTTTAAACATATTTTGAGGTTTTAATTTTAGGAACTATATTCGAAGTCTTTGGATGTTTCAGGCTTTAAAATATTCCATATTCATGAGCAATACAGCGATGTTATGAGCTGGAACTTCAGTGTCACAGCTGTTTGAGGGGACAAAATGTAACAAAAGTGTTTTGATCAAGTTTGATGTGACTGTTACGTTCATTAGCACATAGCATGCAGCCAATGAGATACTTAAATGTACAAACTTTTACACATGTACAATGCAATGAATTTTAGGTTCATAAATTATACAGAAAATCCCAAAGCTGTGAAGTGTAAAATACCTAAATCGACATCACAGCAACATTAGAAACAATTGTGAACATGTGCACGGGCATTGCAAAAAAGTGTGCGTAAAATGTGGTCATTACTTTCATACAAAAACAGGGCTAGAATATTTCATGTTTTAGTGAAATTCATTTTAGCCTTTTTATTCTGTTATTAACAGACCTTGACAAATCCCAAGCATGGAGCACAATACATACATACTCCTAAAAAGGCACAAACTGTATGGTTATTGTTATTGAGGGTTCAATGTTAAGGGAGCAAACTCACCGCAAATCCAAAATGTCTTGGGAGGTTTAGGATCTCAATCTTGAAGATCTCTGAGGTGAAGTGCTGTTGCGTCAGATAGTGATAAGGATCCGTTATGGCAGCGCCAGTCACCGGTACGTCAGAGGTGCTGGTGGAATGGTTATCTTGTGGGTCAAGACCTGATGCACAAATGAACAGATTAAAAAAATTGATATGGCTAGAGCTATATTGTCTAGGTCTTCACCCAAAACAATTACATGGGAACAATCTGACAATAGCCGTAGCCATAGCTCTAGAAGCCCGTTTCAGACACAGCCTAAGTAACAAAGTTGCAAGTTATGCATTAGGAGCATCGGATTCCAAATGTATACCAATCTTTAAGCATACATGTTGCACAATGTGGATAACTTTTTTGGAAGACCAAATAAAGTGCTGTTTTTTTGTTCGAAGTTTCTTGAAAAATCCTTTAGCAAGGAGAAATCAAGGGTAAAGACTTTTCTTTCTGCAGAGCAAAGATATATAATATGAGACCATTGTAGGCTTTAGATGTACAGTATGGGATTTAAGTCTGGTGTATTAAAGGTGTCTTCACAGCTACTAGCTGGAAAAAAATGTAGTTGATAGTTAAAAGCCGGGTTCATACTTCACGCGAAAGCGAAAGCGAAGCGAAATTCGTGACGTCAGCAATACATTCGAAGGGCGTCCATTGTTGACGACATGAATTTTGCTTCGCACATGCTTTCATGTGAAGTATGAACCGGGCTAAAGTCAGCAATTTGTACTCCACTTCTGTGGAAGTTGACCTCAAAAACCTAGGTGATTTTACTAGGTTTATCCAGTCTAGGTTTATCCAGTCAAAGAAAAAATCATTCCAATTTACAACACATTCAAAAAATATTGCAAGTTGATTACTATAGTAAAGTGAAAAAATGTGGACCTCCACTTCCTTTCATTGGGTGAATTCAAAGACGGGAGTCTGTGGCTAGACTAGTCAGTGTTTGGTACCAAGATGTTCACATGAAAAGTGAATGTGAACTGGCGAGATTTGCATGCTCTATAATTGTACATAATCTGTGTAGCACCACTAGTCTGTTGTATTACATTATGAGCTCCATGTCTGTATGATGTTTAAATGCAAAGCAATATTCTAATATTTCTTTTAGATGGACTCAAGGGTGCTTCGAATTTGAGTAATTGAAAAATCAATGCTGTAAAATATGAATGTCGTTGTAAAGTTAGCATCATACAAGATGCATCTTAATTTGCACAGTATCCGAGGAATTGCTGCTTTTTATATGTTCATTAAAGCTGCTATTTCCTTGTGTAATTTAAAACTCTAAACACAAATAATACAGAAATGTACTATCACCAAATCGGTGTTTGAGCTCTTATGTCTTTCTGATACCTAGCAATATTTGCAAAAAACAAATTGCAGGGCAAACCATGTTTCTAAAAGTCACATACTTTTTATACGACAAAAAAATTTGCGTGTAAAAGCAAGATCAGTGATAAAATAAATAAAAGTGTACACTAGCAACATTTAAAGAAATAGTGATTTTCCTGAAGTTTGTATTTAAAACCTAATTCTTGCTTGTACAAATGTAATTGTTGAAAAGTCCCTACTGAGTAAAACAGCTTGCTGGTCAATGTTGAAAGTACAAACATATACCCTCAATATTCATGCCACAAAAGTAAGCCAACATATTGGTCAGCAAAGGGGATGACAAGGGTTTAAGTCTTTGTGGCTTGTTTCTTTCTTTTCAATAATTAATTCCTGACAGACATAATAGACAATGCACAATATGTACACCTGTCAATCTTTCTGTGTGTTGCATTCTGATTGGTTGGAATTGATCAGCAGTAGCTACTAATAGGCCACACCCCTCGACAGCCGATCCAATCAAACATGAAAGCTGACCTACGTCTTTTGCAAAAAGGAAACTTCAAAGGAAATACTTACCTTTGTAAGCACGAAGCCGGAAACCAGCAGTGTTATCTGTCAATGAAAATAAGAAGACATGAAACTGAAATATTTGCACAATTTATCCAGGGCCAAGTTTCATGAAGACCTGACAAGAAATTAGGGGAATTACTGAGAAAAAAAAAACTCTGTAACTTTCTGTTGCAGTGTTCATGACAGGCACATCACATGCACATCTACATGTGTTCACACTTTATGTCCATTCTAAGCAATGTGCACTTTTAACTTAATGCAGTAGTGTCTTGAGCACCAATACTAGTGGATAGGTGTGCTCTATCTCCAAAAAAGAAAACAAAAAAAGGAATGCTATGATTTGAAATTTGACTTTCAATTTAGAGTGCCTAGGGTTGCTCTTTGCTTCTCTCAGAACTACTCTATTTTCTTTGCAAAGTCATGTTGACAGGATTCAATGCGCAGTATTTTTCCAGTTTGCCATTAAGTCCAGGGACAGTTGGTCTCAATCTGCCCCTGAATGAGAGAGTCTCTTTAAGCAGGGGGTTGGGGTTCACCTCAACTCTCATTGGTTGCCGGTGCGAGTCCCACTCAAGCAGCTGTGAATTGATTGGCTTTGGGTTGGGTTTTCCTGGGTTTTTTTTGGGTGACTTTTGTGTGTAGGGAAGACAGCTCATTTCAGAAAATTGGGTAAAACTTTGGTGAGTTTTCACTGATTCTCAAGAAAAAGAGGAAACATCTTCTGGGGCTTTAACAATATTCAGGGCAGCTGTACATGTAAGTCCACTGGCCAGAGAACTATGTCTGGAAACATTTTGTCAAGGAAGATCACATTTCCATTCTGGCCCACAACCATCCCGTGTCTTTGGCGGGTAGCTCACCTTTGTTGCTTCAGCCAGGGAGACATCTCCCCAATGTTCCATTGCAGCATCTTGGATAAATTCCTCAGAAACTCCCTGGTGTTGGTCTGTTTGGTGGATAGCTGGTCCTCATACGGCTGGTTCCACAGTGGAGTCACCGTGTTGTTTAACCTGCAGATTGGGAGTAGAGCAAAAAGCACACTCAGTATTTCAGAGTCTTAAGAATTTCACAATTGTGAATGCTTCAACCGCTATTACCCTTTTTTGAGATATGGCGGACACAATCGAAGGGCGCCATTTGATTTGGGTATATTTGGGGTCAATACAAAAGACTCACCCAAACCAAATATTACCCTCGTATTGTGTCCACCATATCTCATTATGGGTAATGGATAGTGAGTGGAACTTGTGATCTTTCTACATACAACCATTCTCATAACTTCAGTTCGTAGTTCTGGTGGTGCATGTGCAAAGTAAATTTTAGGCTTGAAAAACTAAGGGAAGTGTGTTCAACTTGAAAAGTTTATCAGATAAAATAAGAGTTATTTAAAGTGTGAATCACAAACTCTACACAGGCATGGAAGCTTTGATGCTCTCCCTTCAAGGAGAATAAATGACAAGGAAGAGAAAAAACTGACCACGTAACTATTCCACTCGACAAATTTCATGTTCACAATGTCAAATGAGCTATGGAACTGACTGGTTGGGCTCTTAAAATAGTCATCTCTGGATGTAAGAATGGTTTTCTTGTGATGATCATGAACTACTTGAACTACTCAAAAAATCTACTACAGTGAAGGAAATCACATTCTTTGAACTTCCACTTTCAAGGGGTATCAAGCCTAAATGGCAGTATAGGCAGGGTCTACCTTCCTATATCCTACAAATTCCTCCAAAATAAATGGACAGGACAGAACAGAATTGATCAATTCCATCAAATGAGCCTTTTTCTACACTTGCATAATTTTTATACCACAGAGCACAGTGGAAGAAATGAGTGTTGTAATGACTTCAGTTGGTTGAGAACCGGAGTACTTTTCTAATGGATGGTGGTTCGAATCCAGCCCAACCCTGCATTCTATCTCAATGTCTTCACCTCTCTTCTACTGGTCAGCTGTCCTCCTCCTTCCTCCTCTTAGCTTCTTGGGTGTTTTCATCAGATTCCTCTTGGCTTCTCTTCAGAGCGAGGCTCTCGGGTGTCCAGGTCCTCAACTGACTTGGCGAGCTACGGAAAAGAGTTATTGCAGGAACATGAACCTGTAACCACAGCAATACCAGCCACTAGACCCCTTGCACTGGTAGCCAACACTAAGACTGTTGATTAGTTATTTCAATTCATTGAAAGTGCCAACAGTTCTAAGCAAGTACTAATAGTAAAAACCACAAGTGACTTTGTGAATACCTTGGCTTTGAGCACTTGTCCTTTCCATTTGCGTCCGTTGAGTACTTTCAATGCCTCCTCCTTATCTTCTTGGCAGCTGAGGGATGAAACAAACAATTGGATTTCCATCAGTTAATCCATCGCAAGCAACCGAGTGCAACAGGAAAGGAGATACCGTAGATGGAATGTTTGTGTTGTGGGGGAGGATTTTTTCGAGTTTTATCCCAAAAAATTAGATTTCTTTTCTATTGTACATAACATTACATTGTACATAGCAGCGAGTACCGCATCTACCTATTCATAAGATGGAATTTTGCGTTGGGGTGATGTAAATCAATATTAGGCTTCGCTCTTCACCGAAGTATAAACACTGTATATTCATTTCTGAATTGCTTTTTTTCTAGCAATACAGATATTCACTTTTGAACACAAAACAATCAGCCAATGTTTAGTTATTGAATTATTACTTTACAATTTCAAATTATTGGCTGACAGAAGATATTTCTGTTCTCGAGAGGCTGCCTGGTTCCTGCCCCACAACCAGTATCGATAGTGCTTGGACGAGGAACCAGTCTGCCAGCAAAGTGGATCAGTTTGTCCCGAAACCAAAGAGAAAAGTTCATGGATGCTTTGTAAGTATAACAATTGAAAACAGAAGTCTAAGTACACTTTCCATTTCAAGGAGGAGAGTGTGGTTTCAATGCTACTGTATGTTGATGGATTGACTATTTATATCTGTATTTTAAATTTCTTTCTTGATTATCCAAACAACAAAACTAAAACTTGTATCAAATTTCCCTGTGCTCTTATTTGTGTTTCATTACGTCAGCACACTCAACTTTCATCCTTTAACAAGCTCCCATGTCACTCACTCCTGACTAGGATTTTCTGGCGCCAGTTTTTCTTTCATGTCTCAAACATTCATCCCTATCTTGCTCGTTATTTGTGCTGGCAAGTTTCCTGAGCACTCCAAATTCCAACTAGAAAAACCCATGGCACAGTCTTTGCAATAATCATCATTAAACAATAGAAAAAGGTAAGAGATCCACTCTTTGCTGGGTTCGAAAACGAAACCTTTTTCCCTCCATTTTATCAAGAACAGAAAAATTAAAATACATTGGACATTTGTGAGGATTTAGTACAGCTAAAAATAGATTACACCTCCCTTTCGGAACGAAGAGAAATACACACATGCATGACATGGGCTAGCATTATGAAAGCAAGCGTAACGTACAGAGCCAGTTAACCTTGATATCTAATTCATAAATACCTAAGACCATTTACGCATTCCTATTGGTCGAGAGCCCGTCACGTGGCCGGTCTTAAACGGATGATAAAGACATGGCTAGCTGGTCGTAAACACTTTTCTAGTGTCACATGAAATTTGGACTCCCATGAAATCCGGTGCCTATTACGTTTCATTGGTTGAACGCTCAAATTCCCCACGTATGCATGCGCAATACTACCAGTGAATCATAGTCCGATATTCGTACTACACCAGTCCAGCTGCGTTTTTCGCGACATCGCACAGTACGCCCGACCATGGTGGTGAAATGCGCGACTCGCAGGCAAGAACAAAATATCTCGAAATTAAATTCTTTCCAGGATAATCAATTAATTTGTTTAAAAAATGCATCTTTAACAGTGTGATAAATTTTAGTGAACATTCTATGTACACACACAAGTTATTTAATTTCTGGCTTGATAACGTCAGTGAATACTGATTTAGTTCGGAGTGGATGTTCATTGTGAAGTTAAAAAACGTATGAAAATTTGGAAAATATAAATGTATGTATTCATAGCACCAAACTTCTGGTTTGATGACGTCACAGTATTTGGATGCAAAGGTCAACATTGTCATGGATATCATTTTTTGGGCTACAAAGATATTCATATATCTTCATAGCCCAAAGAAGGATCAAAAGATACAATTAAATTTAGTTTATCGTTTTCAAATTCTCCTTAAAGTAACGTCCAGTCTGATGACATCATGAATTTGAAACCTTGTCAAGTTATCTGTGTTTAATCAGAGAATATCAAGGGGTGATTTGGTTAAAATTTGAACCTATGGTTTAAAAATGAAAGAAAAGGAACACTATTTTATGTGCTGCTAGGGACGTGAATTCACTTAACTTTGACCTTCTGGTAGAACCAGAAGTAAAGGTCAAGCGAGTTCACGTACACACACAAAAATATTCATCAATTAATGGTCTATCCAATTACAAGGTTGGAACATCATTGATCATTTTGTTCAAGAGTTATAGATGAAAGAAGATCGTCATTTTTTAGCGAAAATCGCTTGTAATTTCACACCCGATGACGTCATAATATGCACCATTTAGGATGAGAGTCGATATATATTGAAAGTTACATGTTCCTATCTTAAAATGTTTAGGAGAAAACCTGCAGAAACGTGCTGTACAGAAAAGAAAAAACTAGAACGGCGAAGCTGCCATGGCTCGCTGTCAAAGGCAGGAAGGGAGGCTGAAGGTAGGGTTGGGGATGGGCATGATGGAAGGGGATCAGGATTCTTGTTGATGTGCCTAGGTGTAGGGGTCAGTTTTTAAATGTCAACATAAAAAGTTAACAGATTACCTAATAAATACATGTGTATATAGGTTAGCCGTCACTGTATTATGGGGGAGTTTTCCATTGTTAGGGTAATTAGGACCCAGTTGTGGATTTTTGCAGCGCCAACAGTGTCTTCTGCCCCCCCATACTTGTATTACCATGGGAAAACTCTTGTGTAGTCGCCACAAATGCAGAACAAGAATGGGTAAACATGTACATGAAGACACAGCACCATCACCACCTCCCCCAAACCTTAATTACTCCATCCCAAAACCTGACCCCATCCCCAACCCGCCCCCTCCCCAAGGGCGGATCCAGAACTCAATTTTGGGGGGGGGGCCAAAAAAAAATTTGGTCCTCCAAAAAAGTGGGTCCAAAAATTATGGCGTGGGGTTCGGGGCCCGCTTAAGGGCCCCGAAAAAATTTTGGATTCTAGATGCTCTGTGGTGCGATCTGAGGCAATTTCTGACCACTTTAACCAATGTTTTTTTGAGGAAAAGATGGTGGTGTACTCATTGCCTGCCTTTTTTGCGATGTCACATAAAAAAAAAAAAAAATGGTTTCGTTTTGGGGGGGGCCATGGCCCCCTTTGGCCCCCCCCTGGATCCGCCCTTGCCCCTCCCCCTCCCCCACCCAACCCCCTACTCACACCCATTCCATCCTCCCCTAACCATCCCCACCCTATCACCTACACATCCCAACCCCACCCAAACTCCAATCCCTATCTCCTTCCCCCTCCTCTGACCCGTACCCTCCCCTACCCTAGCCCTGGTGGACTCCCTTTCCTCCCTACGTTACGGAGGGAGTCCTGAGTACACATGTGCTCACAACCGAACGAAAACATTTCTTACCAATAATTTCAATATTTTTACCTTGTTGGAGAAGCTAATTTTACGTCGTAGTATTTTATGTGTCCTTATCTGTTAGTACGCTAGGTTCAGGAATTCCATATGCGATGCTGACTGACGTCAATCAGGAAAATAAACTCGAAAGCATCGTTAAACTTGTACGTGTTTAGTGTCTTTTCATCAGTTTCTCACCGCCGAGTCTATTCTAGTCGTACATCATACCATGAACGTCTGTGCAGCGTGTAGTCTGGTTCCCTAGACCGGACAATTATTCTCGACGCTCATATCACATCTGGTCCGAGGGACAGACTATGCCGCATGAATATGCAGTGCGCACGCGCGATTTGCTTAGTAACCACCCTCATACGCACGCGCACTTACTTGAAGGCGCGGTCGCTAATCCAATGACCGAGCGTGTTTACGCGCCAGTTACCAGAAACACGTTTCGGCTTTGGTCATTGGTTGAGCGTTTTCGTGACATCGGTTGGCTGGAGTGACGTCACGGTTCCAACCAAAACTAAACAAATGAGGGCGCTAGCGTGCGTGCGCGCTTTCGGATCGTACGCACGTACATTTGTACATGTACATTGTACATGATGCATGACGTACGACTCTGGGAATAAACTGATGAAAAGAGACTACAAACACGTACAAGTTTAACGTTGCTTTTGAGTTTATTTTCCTGATTAACGTCAGTCAGCATCGCATATGGAATTCCTGAACCCAGTGGCCAATAGATAAGGATACATAGAGTATGTAGGCGTGAAATAAGCTTCTATAACGAGGTAAAACATAACAAAACTCTGGTAAAAATGTTGGGATGGTTTCATGTAGAAAAGTCTTGTCCTGGACGTTAGTCGTATTGCAATGAAGACTTCGTCCAACCTGGGCTATCCCCTACCCCAACCCCCTACACCTACCTACCCTATCTTCCACTATCTGTCCTTACCCACCCTACACATCCCCACCCTAACCCTTACTCGAATTCCAATATCCCGCCCACCCCATTCCCCCACCCATACATCCCCACCTGACCCCATGCAACCCCTACTCTGATCCCTATATACTGCCCCCTCCCCTTATCCAACCCCTACAATAACCCATCCCTACACATCCCCAACCCAACCCCTACTCCGATCCTACATGTATATCCCGCCCCCTGCCCAACCCCCTCCTAACCCAACCCCTACATCCATGACCATCCTCTCCCTACCTGTCTCTCCCTACCTGTTACCACCACACCCCTACAAATCCCCACCCCACCCAAACCCAGTATTCCAACCCCTCTCCCCACCCCACCCCACCCCACCCCGCCCCACCTATCCTAGCTCCCCTACTCATCCTACTCACACAAACCCTAACTCCAACCCTATCCCCCAACCCACCCCACCCCACCCTCCCCTACCCCATCCTTACTCCAACCCCATAAACTAAAAGATCAAACCAGAAGCTCATGCACATCCCCAAAATGCATAGTGTACATGTACATGTTATACTGGTATACATACACTTACATGTTATACCTGGTACAAGTAACAATTAAAAACTTTAACATTTCCTTGAATTAAATTAATAAAATTTACTGCAATGATATGAACCTAACTGAAGTCATAGAGATGATACATGACAACTGCATTTAATTTTTTCCCCAAGTTAACTAGAACCAAAAACTTCAACATTTTTATCTGAACGCGGACGGCCGGACGGACGGATGCCCGGACAGACGGACAGAAATTGGTATTACATAGGCTCGCATCTGCTTCGCAGCTCGCCAAAAAGGAATAAAGATTAATCGTAACAAATCCAATGAGTGGTCGGGTTGTGCCCAACCACTCAATAAATGTAAAAAACACTAGATATTTTAGAAAACACTGTTAAAACAATGAAACTTAAAATTACAAAAACAAGACCCACATTTAAAATAGATAATAGTAAAACCTAAATACGAATGCCTTTGTAAAAAGAAAAGTCTTAAAGCTTAGTCTTAAAAACTGTTAGAGACCCTGAACAGACTGAATTTCAGGTGGCGGCTGGTTCCATAAACTAGGAGTGGCTTGTGCAAATGAACGATCCCCTATAGTCTTTTGCATTCTCCCAGATGGATAATCTAAAAGCAACCGCTTTTCAAACCTCTTCGTTTATGGCGAATTCTACCCGATATATTTGTGACAATCAATGGGTTAAGAGGGCGAGTATTGTCAGACAACATGCAACTGAACTTAAACGAGAGACTATTTTGTACCAACTTCTGAAGACCTTCAGTATCATCACCAATAATCCTGCCAGCATGTTTCACAATACGTTCTAGTTTCTAACGATTGTAAGAGAGTTAAACCAAGCGATAGAACAGAAACTTAGAACTGATTGGATTGTACTCTGGTAAAACAGTTTTAAAACCCTGGTATTTGCATGAAAAGATTTCAGTTTCCTAACAAAGTGTAACCGTTGATTGGCTTTTTTGTAAACTTTTGTGGTGTTAGAATTCAAGTTTAGCTGACAATCAACCAAAGTGCCAAGGTATTTGTCATCTACTACTTCCACAGACTCATCGTTCAGTTTAATGGGTTGCATAGTTTGTTTGTTCTTTTGAAAATTAAAAACGATTTCTTTAGTGTTTTGCATATTGATAATTAAGTGATTTTTAAACACAATAATTCACAAACTGATCAATGTTGTTTCTACACTCCAATTCATCATTGCCAGTTATCAATCATGTCAAGGCGCACATCTGTATGCAACGTATGGGAGGGAAAGACATAACTAAAAGGATGTATACACAAATTTAAACAAAACTGGCAACTATCATGCCAATGTCAATTATGAAATTGTGTTGATTATTTTTGTAACACTGCTGTCAAAACAAAACCAAAAAAGATTACAAATGCGAACAATTCTGAAAATTTCTCATGGTCTTACACAAGTACAGTGTACATTCTCTGTTAAAAAAGGCAGAACAGGAGTGATTTTCCACAAAGTGTTCGACATGACGATCGATACAACACTGTAAATGAACTATGGGTGATGACTACCAAAACAGCTCCACTCCATCAACTGGGAGGGAAAGTGACATTGACAAGCTTCGTGACAACTTTGACGAGAGTATACACGGACTTCTTCAAATAAAATGGTTAAGTATTGAAATCATTGCACCAATCGGCCTCCTCCTCAACATAGTCTTTCTCTTCACAGTCATTCGAGTGAAATCCATGCGTACAATCATCAACATCTACTTATCCAATCTGGCCATGGCTGACTTACTCTTCCTTTTAAGTGACTTACTATATGTACTATTTATTCAACCTATAAACTCCTTGCAAGTTGCAGCCCAGTGCGTCCGTTATATGTTTCTCACGGTTTCTAACTTCTTTGTGATTACCATAGCAGCTGAGAGATTCTCTGCAGTGCGCAATCCTCTGACACACAAAGAAAAAGCCTCTAAATCTCGAGCAGCAAAGATATCAGCAGGACTCTGGGTGCCAACAATCATTGTTGCTGTGATTCTCATATTCTTACCAATAACAGACACTGTCTTCAATGAAATATTCTTCTGGGTCCTTTCCATCATCAACATTGTCTGTTTAATAGCCACTCTTGCTTTGTACATCTATGTAGTACTGAAAGTACGCAAGCAATCTGCCCTGTTGCCAAACTGTCCCAAGCAAGCAGGCAAGGTCCTCCGTTTGATAATCATAAATACTGCTGTTTTCTTTGTTTTGAAGTCACTAGACATTGCAGCTATAACTATTAGAATCATACGAAACAGTTATACTAGGCCGGCCCAAGAAGTTGAATATCTAGAACTTGCAGAAAAACTATATACTCTGACTATATGTTTAGACGTTCTGCTACTTATCAATAGCTCCATCAATTCCCTCGTCTACAATGCCACAAATATTGACTATCGTGCAGCTGTAGTCGAGGCTTTCTCATTCCTCAAACTGTGCTGTCGTTGCTGCCCAAGACGGAATCTCAGCCAACCATCGCAGCCAGGGAAGCAGATTGAGCTTTGTGTGAATCCACAGGCAGAAAATGACCAAGAGCACCGTGCTGCCAGGCCAAGCAGCAGCAAGCCACCAAGCCAAGGGCATGCACAACACACAGCGAGTCAGCAGTCACTGGAAAGCTGTCAAGAACAATGTTCCAGGCAAAGCAGCAGCAAGGCATCCATGCACAGTCAGCAGCATGTTCAAGTGCATGTTGAGGTACATGCAGAACCAGCAGGGACCCCATCGCTTGCAAGTTCTCATCAGGAACAACGCTCTACTCTGACTGACTGCAAGCCATCCATGCAAGGGGAACAGTGTGAACATCCAGAACCAGCAGAGAGCCAGCAGTCACTTGGAAGTACTCAGGAACAATGTCCTGGGCTGACTGGCACCGAGCCAGTCTCTGGTAACCGATGAGTGCAAACAATCCATGTAAGGGCAGCAGTGTGTACAGTCTGCAGATAGTCAGCAGTGTTTGCCAAGTTATTGTACAGCTATAAAGTGTTGTACGTATAATTTTCAAACTCTACATGCAGTTGGTACAATTACACATGTAGGTGTTTCACAGTAATATACGTCATCTTGCCCGTGGGGCAATTTCACATGCGTTGCTGTGTATGCATCGTCATTGGAAAGCTTTGGCACTTCCACGTCATCGTGCGTTCATTCTAAAATGTGCCCGTGTCTAGCAACGGATGTTCTTTTTGCCCTGCGAAAAAGATGGTGAGTCCCATCCCCGAGTGATGTTTTTCCAACTTTCACTCAGGAGGTGACACACTGAGTATACAGTGTATATACGTCGGTGAAGGGCAAAACCTTATTTGATTTCATCCCCCCTGATGCAAAAATTCCATCTTATGATTGGTGCATATTACCGTGAAACACCTTATTGGTGACGAGAAACGTTAACAGCATATTATCAAGAATTGTAATGTGTTTTATTAAGTAGGGAATTGTCAATTACATCCCGTGTCATTAGTAATGTGCAGGCTCAGTACAGATTGCCACCAACTATCAGCTACATGCACATGAAAAACTTGCATGCAAGTGGCTCAGAAATACTTGTAAATGATGGTCTGGGCAAATGGATTTCGAAATTGCATACTTATGTACATGTTAACTGTTACCTGAATGAGGTTTTTGTGTGCCCTTAAATGAGCAAGTTTGCTTTTAAACTTTGTCAGTGTGAAACATGAATTGGCACAAACATCTACATTTATACATGTATAGTCTGTATAACCCTACATTTTCCATTGCAGATACTTAAGTGCGTTTGAAACAGATTTTGAGGTTTTTAGTTGATGAAGGGTTACGATGCTCCAGGCTTTAAAAAAAAAAATTATAAAGTGCCAAGTTCCATATTCATGAGCAATGCAGTGATGTCATGAGCTGGAACTTCAGTGTCACTGCTGTTTAAGGACGGAAAGTTACAAAGTGTTTTGGTTGAGGTTGATGTGACTGTTTGTTCATTGTGTACGAGGCACAGGCAGTCAGTCAGATACTTTAACAACAAACTGCAATGCAATAAATTTTAGTTTCACAAGTTACACAGAAAATCACAAAGCTGTAAATGTGAAATACCTACAATGTACATGTAAAGCGATATCACAGCAACGGTAGAAACAACTATCAAAGTGTACAGGCAATGTAAAAAGTGCACTGGAAAAAAGATTACAACTTTCTACATGCAGTTTACCATTACTTTCATATAGACATGAGGCTAGGATATTTCCAGGCTTTAGTGAAATTCATCCAATTGCCTTTAAATTCTGTTATACAAATTACAAAAAGACCCTGAGAAATCTTCACCATGGAGAACATCGTGAACTCTTAATAGAGCACAAACTGTATTACCATTATCGAGAGTTGAATGCTAAGAGAGCAAACTCACCACAAATCCAAAATGTCTTGGGAGGTGAAGTGCTGTTGTGTCCGATAGTGATAAGGATCCGTTATGGCAGCGCCAGTCACCGGTACGTCAGAGGTGCTGGTAGAATGGTTATCTTGTGGGTCAAGACCTGATAGACAAAAACGAACAAATTAAAAAACCAACTCCAATCAGAGAAAATAAATTTACTTTGATTTTTTTTAAGAATGAGATATTTGTAAGTTTAATTATGAGTGTTTTCAAGTGAGACACTGCACAACAAAATCAGTTCACACTGACAAACAGATCAATGAATTGCAAATTTTGAATAAAAAACATCCCAAAGTTGAATACTGTTAATATAGATGTACAACAATTGTACACAGTACCTGAAAAAAATTAATGCTTTAAAATATGAACCTCTTCGTAAAGTTAGAGATAAAAAATATAAATATCTTAATTTGGACGGTTCCCAAAAATGACCAAATTCTACAAGCTGCTGTTTTTGTGTGCGTAATTCAAAACTGCCAAGCACAAATAATGCTATGTACTATCACCATTCTGGTATTTGAACTAGTATGCTTTTCTGATACTTGATACTTTATTGATGCCTCATAATATTTTGATAATTTTCATTTGCCTTTTTTAATGGGCTTTGTATTAATCAACAAAAGAATGAATCAAATTAGGTTTTGCCCTTCACCGATGTATAAACACTGTATACTCAGTGTGGTACCTCCCGAGTAAAAGTTGGAAAAAAATCACTCGGGTGGGACTCGAACCCACAACCTCCTGCTTTCTAGTGCAGACATCTTAACCACTCAACCACCGAGCTGGTTGGTTCAAATCTGATGTACATAGCAGCGGGTACTGCATTAACTATTCATAAAATGGATAGTCGGTGAAGGGCAAAACCCAATTTGATTTACATCACCCCGAGGCAAAATTCCATCTTAAGCCGTGTCTGCACTGGACTTTTTTTTTGGAAGGTTTTACCAAGACGATGGTAAAATGAGAAATGGTCAAATGTGACCACTGTCCGCACTTGGACTTTCGACACGGGAAATTTTACCCAGACCGTGTGGGAGAAGTGACCGAGCTGTCACAGTCACGTGCACAGGAAATAAAATGCCGATCACATTTTTTTTCAGCCCCCGATACGCACAGTATAATATTACACACACCATTAAAATGCACAATATAATCGTAACATACGATGTTATTTCATCTTGACACGATAAATCTTGACAAAAATGCCTACTTTTCTGACGCATTTGTGATGGACGACATCGAAGCCATGCGGCAGCAGTTCCATTGGTAATCGCTGGTTCCCACCGCATGCTAACATAACAGAATCAAAGCTATGATGTAGGACTGGAACCAGGGACTGCGGCCTACGTACGGTGCCATGCAGACTACACGGCGTAACAGGACGAATTTGGATCGTAGAAAATACAAAACAAACATTGGTGGAGAAAAAGAATGACTGCAAAGTATTTCCCAGAACGTGATCTTGATATTTTCTGTGAATGTATTCTCCGTTAAAATATATTTATAATGAGATTTTACCGCTCCGACTTCACAACGCTGCGTACGTGTTTCCACAAAATGTTCGGCCACATCACGTGAGGGATCGTGCGGTCTCTGTATGCATGATACTAGCACTAGGGCCGGATGTCACATTCCTCAGCCGCTTTTACCCGTTGGCCAGTAAAAGTAACCACTGGACTCAGGAAAAGTAACTTTAGCCCTGTCCGCACTGGACTTTTTTTGGTCAAACTAACCGAGACTATGGGTACTTTTCCCATTTTAAGTCCAGTGCGGACAGCCTAGGACGTTTTCCTCTCGGTTAATTTTCCTGAGTCCAGCGGTTACTTTTACTGGCCAACTGCTGCCCAGGAAAACTTCCCACGCGCCCAGGAAAACTGACCAGGTCACTTTTCCCGAGACGATAAGTCCAGTGAAGACAGTGCGAGTCGGTAAAAGTGGCTCAGGAAAGCGTACATCCGGCCCGAGCGCCCTGTTATGCATACAGAGACCGCTCGAACCTGCACGTGCAGTGGCCGAAAATTTTGTAGAAACACGCTGCGGTGTATCATCAAGTCCGAGCGGTAAAATCTCGTTAAAACATATATTTCAACGGACAAATACATACACAGAGAAGAAAGATCACGTTCTGAGAATTAATTTGCGGAAATTCTCTTTCTCAACCGATGTATGTTATTTTCTACGATCCAAATTCGTCCTGATACGCTACTGTCATGCATGGTAACATCATGGTCCGGTACCGTACGTAGGCCATAGTCACTGGTTCCTGGCCCAAATCATAGCTTCGATTCTGTAAGCATGCGATGGGAACCAACGAATACTGATGGCACTGCTGCCGCACGGAACATCGTACCGCAGCATGGCTTCGATGACGTGCATCACAAATGCGTCAGAATTATAGGCCTTTTCGTCAAGATTTAGCGTGTCAAGATGAAATAATATCGTGTAAACGATTATGTTGTGCATGCAAATGGCGTGTGTAATATTACTGTGCGTATCGGCGGCTGAAAATGTGATCGGCAAATTGTTTTCTGTGTACGGTGAGTCATTATACTGACACTGTGACAGCTCGGTTACTTCTCCCACGCGGTCTGGGTAAATTTTCCCGTGTCGAAAGTCCAAGTGCGGACAGTGGTCACATTTGACCATTTATCATTTTACCATCGTCTCGGTAAAACCTTCCAAAAAAAAAGTCCAGTGCGGACACGGCTTATGAGGAAAACGTCCTAGGCTGTCCGCACTGGACTTAAAATGGGAAAAGTACCCATAGTCTCGGTAAGTTTGACCAAAAAAAGTCCAGTGCCGACAGGGCTTTATAAAAGAATGAATGTTTTAAGATATGAATGGCTTTGTAAACTTTGCATTCATTCATCAGAAATTCACAAGTTTGACAGTTGAACAAAGGTTCAAGGACAGAGGAAACGACAGACGTGGCGGAGGTGTCTTTATCTTGGTTAAGGATGGTTTCTCAGCCATTGAACTTTCTGAAGATGGTTGTGAATTACTCTGGTGCCAACTACTGCTCAAGCCGAAAGGAGAGGACATCTTCATCTCTGCATATTATAGAGCCCCCGACTCCTACAGGCCAGAATCTCTAGAAAACCTAGACAGAAGTCTGAGTAAATTGCAGGCTCAGGTAAACTCCCCATTCATCATTCTTGGAGGAGACTTCAACATCCTGGGCATGCTTTGGAACTCAAGGACTGGTACATACGGTATTCAATCCAAAATTATCAACATCGCAGATGACTACAATCTCCAACAAAAGGCAAATTTTACTACAAGGAGAGACCCAGTTACAGGAACAGATAACATCTTAGATTTGCTCTTCACCACATGTTCAACTCTTGGTTTGTAATGTTTACAGCAACTCCGGGATTAGCGATCACGCAACAGTGTTAGCTGACATAAACATCACCACACCTCGCTCTGTCAAGCCCCCTAGGACCATCTTCAAGTGGAATGACGTGGATGAATGACGTCCTCGAGCTTAAGACCGAATTCATGCAGTCATCTCCAGAAACCAGAACAGTTGAGGCAAACTGGAGTATTTTTAGGGACAGGCTGAAAACTAACGAATTAGTACCACAAAAACCAGACCAGGGACATTCTAGACCCTCATGGCTCACTACTGTCCTAATCCGTTGCTGCAGGAAGAAAGAGCACAGCTATGTGAAGGCAGTAACAAGCGGTCTACATTCAAACTTTTGCAAAAGGGTCATTCCACCGGGTTGGGGAACAATGTGTGACATATGACCATATTAACAAAAGCATATGCTTTGCTAGCAGTTGCTCTACATAATATTTGTTGTTGGGTGTTTCACGACTGCAGAAAGTTTGAAATGATTTCAATGTATTTTGCCAAAAATATGAGCAAAAAATGTCATTTTGGATGTAACATTGACATCGTGTCAGTGTTATGTCCAAATGTGACATTTGTACCTTTTTTACAATTTCTGCGAAACATCACACAAATTCACTTTGCTTACTTCTTACTATACATGCAACACAATAAAAAAAAAGCTTTTGTTACGGTAGTCAGGTTTCAAATGGAGCAGAAATGATAGCTTGGTTGTGTGGATGTAACATTGACACGGTGTAAAACCCAATGTCACACTTCCATTGAGTGATTTTTACACCGTTACATCCACACTTGAGGTATTGTTTCTGCTATATTTGAACCCTGACTATACCAAAACAAAAGCTTTTCTTGGTGCTTAGGTGTCCAGTTGTAAATATGCAATGTCAGTTTGGGTAATATTTTACATACATGGAAAAATGGCAAAAAAGAATATTTGGATGTAACATTGACACGGGGTCAATGTTACATCCGAATTAATACATTTTTGCTCATATTTTTGTCAAAGTACTTTCAAATGATTTCAAACTTTCTTAAGTATTGAAACAACTTAAGACAAATATTAAATTGAGCAATTGTTTAGAATGCATTGATACTTTTAATAATATAACCAAATATATAGATGTAACATGCACTGCTTCCCAACCCGGTGGAATGACCCAAAAGCAAGTGAACAGCAAAATCCGAAGGGCTAAACGCACACATTTAAAAGAAACTACATCTACAGGTAACCCCCAGAAATGTTGGCGCTACGTAAACAGCACTCGTAAAGACAACACAGGGGTTCGGGTTCTAAAACTCAACAGGAAAAATATCACATCTGACCAAGAAAAAGCTGAAACCCTACAAGACCAATTCTGTAGTGTTTTCAGCAGGGATGACACCGATGTGCAGCCAGTTCTACCACCGAGTCCCTACTCAGACTTGACAAACATCACCATGTCTGTTAGCGGAGTCCTCAAGTTACTGACGTCGCTCAACTTGAAACTAGCTGCCAATGAAGTTGCCCCAGTACTCGCATTCATATTCCAACAATCACTGGAAGAAAGCCAACGTAACACCCATTTTTAAGAAAGGCTCTCGTGCAGACCCGGCAAACTACAGACCTGTGTCGTTGACCTCTGTTTGCTTTAAGTTATTAGAGCACATCATTGATAGCCAATAAATGAAACCCCTCCAGGAACACAACATCCTGAACGAAAACCAACATGCTTTTCGTAAAGGCCTGTCCTGCAAATCCCAACTCGTAACAACTCTGGATGACATCTCCTACAATTACAATAATCAAATCACCACAGACATGGCAGTACTTGACTTCTCCAAAGCATTCGACATAGTTTCTCATCAAAAACTGGTCCAAACATTACACTACTACGGGATAAGGGGAAAAACACAGAGATGGATCAGGGAATTCTTAACCAACAGGTCACAATGAGTTGTGGTAAATGGAAAATCTTTGAAATGGCAAAGTGTCGACAGTGGCGTACCACAAGGCACCGTGCTTGGCCCCCATCGGTTTTTACTTTTCATCCATGACATTAGCAAATCAGTGACTGGCACAACTCACCTTTTCGCTGACGACTGCCTGTTATATCGGAAGATCTGCTCATTAACTGATGAACTGATGTTCCAAAAAGACCTGGACAACTTGGCTCACTTGGCACAAACCTGGGGAATGAAATTTAACTCCAGCAAATGTAACGTCATGCGAATCTCCGGGAAGCGGGTCCCCGGCAAAACTAACTACACCATGTTAGGATCCAACCTCGTACTCGTAGAGAAAAACCAACATCACATATTTGGGAATAATCATTCAGAATAACCTAAGTTGGAATCACCAAACAGCACATGCCACTTCCAAAGCAAGTCATATACTGAACTTCATCAAAATAAATTTTTATTCTGCATCCAGATCAGTCAAAGAAAAGCTGTACTTAGCAGTAGTCAGACCACACCTAGAATATGGCAGCATTGCTTGGAACCCTCACATAGCTAAGAACATAACATCCCTGGAAAAAGTGCAACTGATGAGGGCTGCTCGTTTTGTAATGCGAGATTATTCCAGACTGAGCAGTGTGACCGACATGTTGACAACCCTAGGCTGGTCTTCACTGGAAGAGAGAAGGAAAGTTAACCAACTTACCTACTTACCTACTAAAATAATACACAACATAGTTCACATTAACTCATCATCCATAGTCCCCAAACCAGCACCGGCTCATAGAATTCACAACCACCAGTTCACAGAAATTGCAGCAAGGACAGACATCTATATGCAGTCATTCCTACCCAGAACTATCCGGAAATGGAACAAGCTCCCTCAAGACACCACAGACGCCCCAAACCACAACACCTTTAAGGATTTAATTTAGTTCCACTTCCCCAAGGCCTCCTTGCTAGACTTCCACGTGGAGTATTCAGGATAACCACCAAGTACCAAGTTCAGGTGCAATATTTTTATGAAATTGAACCCTCATTCCCCCAATTTATAAAAATTACTTGGAAAGCAACAAAACTATCTTGCAGCAAAATTAATTTCACTGGGTTAAAGTATTAAGTTTCCAATAAGCAAGAATGGACAAAATAACATGAATGAGATTACACTTAGCTGACCTGGCAAAGGAGCAAACGTCCTCACCAAGTAAAAGAATAACAAGTTACCTTTGGATTTGTCCTCCTCATCTTCATTGGGAATAGCATCCATAGTGATGGCCACATCTGTTGGCATCTTGACAACATCACCCTCTGTAACTGTGGTTGACGTTACCTCCCCAGTTGGGACATCATCAGAAGTTGGTCCCTGCTTCTCATCCATTTTGGTGTTATTACGTTGGACCAAAAACACACTGGAAATATAAAGAAACTGCACATAAAGCAGTTGTATACTATTGAAAGCCATGACCAGTGGGATATCTAGGGGGAGGGGTCAAAATTTGTCCCTGCTAATTTTGACTTTTTAGGACATATCATTTTCTGATGGCTGATAGGTCATTTAAGGGAAAAATTACGGCGATCGTGAAGTGTAGGGCCCCCGTTTTGTTTTGATCAAATTAGAATCGAAAATGTTTTTTATTGCTCAAAACTCACCTTTACAATCAAAAGCAGCCTTTTCTCAATTCTAATAACACCCATTTTACAATTTTGAACAGATTCTTGGGGTAGAAATCACGGTTTTCCTGCGCGGTTTGTACCTTGGGATTCAGCGCGCCTTGCATGCTCACGGAACATCGCGCGGTGATTGCCATCTCAAATTTCGGGTCGCATGTTGTCGCCGCGCCGTCATTGTCATTTTACCCCCAAATTTCCCTCAAAACATCAAAACCCTGCCCTCTATCTATGACAAACCTGTTTATTGAGAATGTTGCAAACTATTATGGTAGGTCAAATAATTTTTAAGTGGATTTTGTTCCCCAAGTTATAGGAACCGGGCCCTGCACTTCACGATGGCCGAAGTATTAACTCAACTGTAGCTGGAGTTACCCAGCCCTAAATTTTATCATTGGGTTGTCATCTAGATGACAACCCAATGATACCCAATTGGGTGCTGGGTAACTCCAGCTAACTCAACTGAGAAAACACTTAAAAATTTTCAGACCAGTCTCAAAGGGTTTGTGCACAGGGTGGCAAGTGATGGCCAGATATGGGAATCTTTCCTTTAATGTTAATTGTTATTGTTAATTAAGCATCTCAAACTTTTCACGAATGAGATACCACGCTATTGAATACAAATAATAAACGCAGTAGGATGGGTTGCCCTATTATCGCGGTACTTGTCACGTTTCTCGTTCGGAATAGCGATTCCCCACTAACCTTCCCGAATTGTCCTGTCTTTTGTGCTGTATAACTCTTCCTTTTTAAATTAATATAAAAAAATCCGACGGTGGTGTGGTCTATTCCGTGTACGATTTCTGTGAAAATAGACATGCGCGGAGTGTGCGAACGAAGGTGGACTCCCTATTATCGCGGTATGTGGGAAGTGGTTTTTATAATGATCCCAACTTTTTGGTTCATAGTTAATGTTTGACCAAAACATCCCCTGAATAAAGTCTGATATTTTCCCTGTAACGTTCAAGTTGATTACAGACTATATTTCTGCAGGATGATTTCTTAAGACCTGCCCTTCCCCCGAAAGGAGAACACAAATCCCTGAGGCAAGTCTACTGATCGGCGATTGAGGGCGCCATTCACTTTACACAGTGTGCCATTTTATTTTCGCTAACGCGCGGTGCTTATTTTGATCCCGTAAAAGTTGTTACGATTTCGCGCTGCAAATATCGTCGTTCGACTTCATTTTACATTTGCAGCTAAAGAATGGGAACTAGACAATGGAACTTTCATGGACAGAGCACAGTTAAAGATTTATGTTAAAATATAAACGGTACCTTTTAGCAGACACGGTGAGGGAAAATTTTGCAAGTTTTGGAAAACGTTAATAATAATATTTATTAAAATCGTTAAAAGTTCCGAAAGACACAACATTTTTTAATCGTCCTTCTTATACAACTCAGTAGAAAATCCTTGATGACTGGTGAACTGGATAAAAATCGCCACTTGAAGGAGTTTTGACAACGCAAAAAGAGAAATTTCCCATGCCGCGATAATTAATAGGGATGCCGCGATAATAGGGAGTCCGACTATACGTCTATCAAACTCAAAGTATCATGTCCGATATGGCCACTTTTTGCAGTACGTTTCAGTTTCACTAAATAAAATAATGCAGATTTCACCAATAGCTAATATAAACAACTAAATTAATGTTATCATTTATTAAATGGTTATATAAAATTATCTACTGATACTGACCAAGAAAGTGACACAGGCAACACAACAGGTTTCGGCCACTCGGAAGACAGCGCCAGATTTACAGTCGCGTGTTTATGTTGTTGAATGCTGCCCTCATGTGTCGTTCGATTGGCATTGCAAGCTCTTTCGAAACATCGGCCTCCATCGCAGGTCCCTACTGCTTCAGCTTCATATATTGAACTGGTATCCTTTTTTTTTAACGAGACGCATACGTCTTCCATAACGGAAGCTCAACAATATTTATTTGTCTATTATTATTTGACAACTCACGCTTTCTGGGTAGCTGTGTGGAAATTTCATAATCTTCTTAAATTTTTATAGTAGACGAAGCCGTAGCTGGGAATGAATCGAATTTTTAAAAACTCTTTAAACCCATGTTCTCTTTTTTTCTGGAGGGCTAGGCCGGCGCTGTTTACGCAACTCAAGTAAGTTTCCACAGGGAGAAATGGCTTTAAGGGAAATAAATAAGCTGTTTACGCTGAACACTACTTTCAGTTTTTCCCCTTGACCAGTTTGAGTGGCTCTTCACCAAGGTAATGAAAGTCGAAGGAGCGTCAATAGAGCTAGAGAGGGGCTATGTGCAAATATTATGTTGGACATTTTACAAATCCCGGGAGCATCAAACTAGGCCTATATCTATACTAATAAAAAAGTAATAATATAGCAGTGTTGAACCCCACCGTACAGGAGCGACACAAAATATTGAATTCTACTTCGAATGCTGGAGGGAACTATATGCTTAAATGTTTCCAGTGACGGGTGCATATGTATAAGTAAACACTAAATGAAATGTTTTTTGTGGCTATAACTTTGCCAATAGAAATAATTATTAACAGACTTTTGTCTAAAAACTGTTGAGATACTTTGGACAGTATTTTTACCTATGAAATATAAATGAGGTTGATATTTGTTTCACACGAAGTAAAGAATAATAAAAAAAGACTGCCGAAAAATGTAAATTGATTAAACACAGCGTCACTGTAGCTCACCTATTATTACTGCATTTCACTGCCAACCTGGTTCGCTACAGTGGTGAAGCAACAACTCACAAATAATTAAGATACCTAAAGTAGTCAAAACAAAACTAGAAAGACACAACATTTTTTAATCATCCTTTTTATACAACTCAGCAGAAAGTCCTTAATGCCTGGTGAACTGGATAAAAATCGCCACTTGAAGGAGTTTAGGCAACACAAAAAGAGAAATTTCCCATTCCACGATAATAGGGATGCTGCGATAATAGGGAGTCCGACTAAACTTTAAAAATATAGCAACGGCATACTAAAGTTATATTGCAAATGTTTCTATTTTGGGAGAATCTGTATACATTTGTAAAATGTTATGTAATTGGCACACGGATGATTTTCAGCAAAACATTCTCGGAACTCTTTCCATGCATAGGATTTAACTAAGCTTCTTAGACTTTCGACAAAAGTATATTATAATATTTGTGGATTTATTTTATTTACCTCCTATTTTCAATTATGATATGATTTTAAATATTATGCATGCAGTTGTTTTTACCAAAATGGAAAGAAATTCATTTATTTCATATATAAACAAACGCGCATTTAATAACAATGTCGGATGACAAATCCACATTGGTTTAGGAAGTAGGACACAATGGAGACTTTCGTGGCAGCCAATTTGACTCATCTGCAGACGATGACGTTCTTGGTGCTTCCTTGACGTTCGATATTGTTCAAATTATTTTTCTATGTAGTTAATATTAGTCATTCTTTCAATGTTAAAGTCCACAACTGTGTAGGATTTAGTTTATGCAAGAAAAAAATTGGTCCAAGTACTAAGTGCGCAAAAAATGGCCAATGTTTTTCTACATCACTACCTCGTGTTGGTTCAGCATCAGAGGTGACGGAATGTTGCCACCTAACGCTGCTTTTTCCTTCGTATATCATCTCAATGAAGGTCAGTAATTGCAAAAATGATGATATATTGATAAGACATGAATCTTGGACTGAGAAACATTTCCAATTTTGTTAGGAAATACTTAAAAAAATTCTTGACTCTCCATAGACTTTGTACACAACTGCAGAAGTAGCGTCAGGTTGCAACATTCTTTCCGAGGTGACTGTTGGCTCTCCAAGAAAGCCTTCTAAAACCTCTTCCACCGCCTCAAAAGAGATCCCATCTGCGAGTGGTTTCTTTGTTAAATGTTTTATGCCTGGTTTTTATGAACTGCCACTTTGAAAACTGCTGTGAAGATTTGGATTGAGTAGAAAATGAGATTTCTACTGATTTCATTGGCGTAGCCATTTTATAACATTTTTTTGACATCATACATGTTAACTTGACAGTTTTTCTCAATTGTTTTTTTCGCAACTGTAGGCGCATCCATCAGTGCAGACGAAAGGCGCTGAGGCAGACTGGACGCCCATACAATGCACAGACAGGGAGTGTAGCCACTCCTTGATGAAGGCTCCGCATCTGCACTGTCCATTCTGCTCCCAGGACAGTCTCTTCACTGATGAGATTCTCCTCAAGGCGCACTACGTACAGGGTCAAGTACGTGGATAAAGGCATCAACTTTGGGGGTGAGTTTGGGAACAAGACCAAGTGCACCAGACTTTTCCAACTGATGCGCACTGTGCTGCATGTGGCAGGGTTAGGGTTAATTATAAAGGTAAGTTGAAGGTAGTGGACAGCAGGACAAGGTAGTGGCATTTGTGGGAGTTTTATGAAATTGACAGATACCTGGGCTGGTTATTCTTAGCAGATATCAGTGTTCGATAAACTCCCTGTAGAGGGGTGTTTCAAAAAAGCATGAAGTGAACTTGTTGAACAAAATCTGGGGTTTTTTTTACCGAAAAGTTTTGACTCAAGTATCCATTCTTTTGAGAATGATTAGACACACCTTTTTGGTTTAAGTGTTTGAAAGCGCACTTATTTTTAACCTTCACAGTTTCAGTGCTGCTTCAAGACAACTGAGTATGCCGTTGCTGTGATGTAATGGTCCCCTTGTACAATCTGCATGAAAAAAAAACCATGGAATAAATTTAATCAGTTGAAATTTATGTACCTTGTGAGCAGGTGTGGTAGTTCTACAAGGATTTGGGTGGATTATGTCAAATGCCAACACTTCATGCCTTTTAAAATAATTAATTGTGAACCTAATTTTATCACTGTATGTTTGTGTCGTAAATTGAATCTTTTGCTACCTTACAGGTTTAAGTCTCATTTTATCAACCTTAACGACTGCACTCCACCATTTTTACCTAGGATGTCAACCAGATCTTCACCACATACACTGACCCAGCACCCAACAGTACCAGCCTGGTAACACACCTCATAGTCCCCCAGTCACAGCAGCCATCGGAGACAGACACATCATCCCCGGGGCTATGAGCAGACTGATGGGCAGCAGCCGCAGATCGAGTACCAGTATGCCTGCATCAATGATCCGAGTCAGAGCACTGCCAATGGGGAAGGTAAGATGGTAAGAATATTAACCCTGACCCTCCAAGAATCCTTCAGCATCTACGCAGAGGTTAAGGTGGATAATGCCACCAGCAGTGAAGGATAATTAGAAGAAGCTGACCAAAAAGCCAAGGGGGAGGCATTTGATGCAAGGAAGAACTCTTCCCCCCCCCCACCCCCCACCCCCCACTTTGTTTTCAATTGATATATCGTGAATCCATATGGAAGAAGGGAATGGGTAGACAACAGCATGTTTAATACAGTTGTCTTCACTCCTGCACTTGTTTGGTCAATAAAATAAATAAAACAACAACCAAAAGTTCAGCATTTCTTTAGGGGGTTGCGGCAGGTGAGGGCCAATATTGACAGTGGATTTTACAAATTGAAATTACAAGGTGCAAAGGGTGTGCCATTGGCGTTATTTAAGTTGATTGAATTTTGGAGGATTCAGGAAGGTTCTTAGCAACAAAAAAAATCTAATAAGTCAGGGTGGCAGTACATTTTGAGAGCTGACTTCAACAATTAATTAAATATTGGCATTTGTCCTTCACCTTGCCCACCTAATGTTAGGAATACGGTTTGAAAAAGTGAGTGATTGCTTGCACCCAGTTACAAGGAATTACATGTTCTTGACACACTGCATCACTGGGGACTTTCTTGCCTGTATCCTGTTTTTACCGCTACATATCATCTGTCCCATTCAAGCGCAACATATATGTCGACCTTTCTACTCCATAAACTCCTCCCATCATTTCCCCTCTTTGTGTAGCCCACACCTGGAGTGACCTTTTGATGACCGACTTTCATTATTACAGGAATTATTATCCAGGATAATTACTCAACCTTTCCCTCTCGTAAACAGTTGTCCTTATTGAGATACCAGACGAAGGAAGCAAAGAGGATTTGGAGGACGAGACTTGCTACACAGAGCACAACTTGTCGCTGCTGCTGCAGGAGAAGGAACGTCTGGAGAAGACTCTTGAGGAGGAGCGGACCACATGGGCCCAGACTAGAGCACAGGATGAAAGGCACTATAGAAAGGCTTCGTACAAAGGTGAGTGGGCATTCCATCTGGTCTTGGTCTAAGAATGAGTTTGGATCTTGTTCCCTGCATGCAACAGGTATCAAAGGCGTCAATCGCTTCTCAAAAGTGGGAGGGGGGACATACCTTGATCAGAACTAATGCAGGCACACTAATGCGACTGCGTTGTTTCAGTGGTCAGATTTCTGTCAGGATGCCAGCTGTCATGGCTGTGGGCGATCATGGTGTGCACTGTTGTTGTCATTGCTCTACATTTTCTACACGTTCTTCGTTGTTCTATGCGCTGACGCTGCTTATGATAAATGCAGACAAACCGTTCCACACATTTTGTACACAAGCTCAGATGTGTTGTTTATCCTTGTGTAGAGGATTCATGGTTTCACTCATACTCTAGTTGCACTAAATAACTGGGTAACAACACATGTGCCTTCTTAAGCATTCATGCTCCAACTGCACACATCATAAAGTGCATAAATGTCGGATTTTGGTGTGCGCTGTCATGGTTGTGATTGGTTACACATCATGGGTCAGAGCCTAATGGATTGGTCTATTAAAATTCCATCTGTAAACAAATAATTTCTCTGCCCATCCTTCTTGCCCTCCAGGTCCAACACAAACATGTCACTCAAGCAGCAGCTGTCCATGATTCACACGTCCAGTTTGAAACGTCTGACCAACGACAGCGAGAACCAGTCCATTTTGCAAGAGTTACTGCAACACATGTCTGAGGAGCACACCCAGCTGCTGCACCACCATCTAGCACAGCTACGGCTGTACGCTCAGGCCTGCGCATTATCCAAATCAGCCCCCGAGGAATCTGCAGCTGAATCTACAGTCTTGGTACCAGACCTGGCTGACCAATCACAGGACATCTCACACATGGCCATGATGTCGTCCTCTGAGGACAGTCTTGGGAACATGGAGCAGACAGTCGTCATGTCGATAACGTCGGAGGAGGATTCAGAGCCGCTTGGCAACATCGTGGATAACCCTGGAGATACCATGAGACACGATGTCTTGCCTTTAGATAAGGACATTCAGTTGTCACCAAATGACATTCCATACCAGCTGACAAGCGAGGGACTGTCACCAAGACATGACACCTGTGAGTCGGGTCACGTTTATCAATCAGGTAGAACTCATTCACATCACAACACAGGCTGTGATGTCACGCAACAGGATTTTCACGAGAACAAAAGTTTGAAATTGGTTCTTTCCAACAGCACCCCAAAAATATTCTGCCCCGACGGCTTCGACAAAAAAACGTTTGAAGACATGTCAAATGAGGGACCACCATTAAAATGTGGGAGAACTAACAGCCTGAAAGCCATTTAACTAATCAAATCTGACTTATTTTGTAAATAGTGTACACTCAGTGTTGTCTTAGGGCTTAGTTGGGGGGGGGGGGACTTGAACTAATGAGTTGAGTCTTCATGGAAGTTTGTCTTACCTGAAGGAAAAATGTTACCAAAGCAACTGGCCTTGTTCTCTCCTATCTTTTTGAGTTCTCGATGGGCAATCCTGAATCCGCTCAGTGAATGGGCGTCGTTGTAGGCCCAAACAGATCCACGTAGGTCCTCAAACACTTTAAATCTATTACTGAAACATAAACGATGCAATTATGATTAACATTGAAACATTTGGTCGTATGTATAAAAACTAGCATTTGCTTTTTTTTTTACTACGTATTTTTAAGCTTAACTTTTATTTGCATGAATAAAAATGAGAGCAAATGCTTTCACTATTTGCTTCAAGCTAAAAGTATTTGCTTTTTTACTTTTTGGCTTTTGCTAGACTAGAAGTGTGGACTGGTTTCAAACTTGAAAAAAATATAAAGTTTCAATTGACCTCAAAATTAATAAAATTTTAAAATCTAAACCTCCAACTGTGGGACTTGAACCAGCAACCTTCAGAAGTTCAGATTTAGGGTCATCGGTCCGTATTACTTGATTAAGCACAACTTCACAATATTTTGTGGTTACAAAATTAACTGTAAAGTTTCAATTGACCTAAAAAGTAATAAAATTTTGAAATCTAAAATTCCCAGCGTAGGAAGGAACCTGCAACCTTTAGATTTAGAGTCAGCAGTCTGAACCACTGCACTAAGAATAATTTCATGCTTTTTAGTGGTTACGGAATTAACTATAAAGTTTCAATTTACCCAAAAAGAAATACAATTTTAAAATCTAAAATTTCCACCCTGGATTTGAACCCACAACCTTAAAATTTAAAGTCAGCAGTCCGTACCATAGTACTTAGCATAATTCCACACTATTTAAAGGTTACGAAATTAACTACATGTATAATATTTAATTTACCCAAAAAGTAATAAAATTTAAAATCTAAAATTTCCACCCTGGATTTGAACCCACAAACTTCAGATTTCAAGTCAGCAGTCTGTACCATTGGACTAAGCATAATTTCACACTTTTTAGTGGTTTACGCAATTAACTATAAAGTTACAATTTATCCAAAAAGAAATAACATTTTAAAATCTAAAATTCCCACCCTGGATTTGAACCCAAAACCTTCAGATTTAGAGTCAGCAGTCCATATCATTGGACTAAGCATAATTTCACACTTTTTTAGTGGTTACAAATTAACTATAAAGTTACAATTTATCCAAAAAGAAATAAAATTTTAAAATCTAAAATTTCCTCCCAGGATTTGAACCCACTACCTTCAGATTTCGAGTCAGCAGTCCATACCATTGGACTAAGTATAATTTCACACTTTTAAGTGGTTTACGCAATTAACTATAAAGTTACAATTTATCCAAAAAGAAATAACATTTTAAAATCTAAAATTCCCACCCTGGATTTGAACCCAAAACCTTCAGATTTAGAGTCAGCAGTCCATACCATTGGACTAAGCATAATTTCACACTTATTAGTGGTTACGCAATTAACTATAAAGTTTCATTTTACCCAAAAAGAAATAAGATTTTAAAACCTAAAATCCCACCCTGGATTTGAACCCACAACCTTCAGATTTCGAGTCAGCAGTCCATACCATTGGACTAAGCATAATTTCACACTTTTTAGTGGTTACGCAATTAACTATAAAGTTTCATTTTACCCAAAAAGAAAGAAAATTTTAAAATCTAAAATTTCCACCCTGGATTTGAACCCACAACCTTCAGATTTAGAGTCAGCAGTCCGTACCGTTGGACTAACCAGAATTTCACACTTTTTTAGTGGTTACAAATTAACTATAAAGTTTCATTTTACCCAAAAAGAAATAAAATTTTAAAATCTAAAATTCCCACCCTGGATTTGAACCCAAAACCTTCAGATTTAGAGTCAGCAGTCCATACCGTTGGACTAAGCATAATTTCACACTTATTAGTGGTTACGCAATTAACTATAAAGTTTCATTTTACCCAAAAAGAAATAAGATTTTAAAACCTAAAATCCCACCCTGGATTTGAACCCACAACCTTCAGATTTAGAGTCAGCAGTCCATACCGTTGGACTAAGCATAATTTCACACTTTTTAGTGGTTACAAATTAACTACAA